AGTATTGATTGTGGACCTAAGCAAGCTGAGGCTGTTAACAATATCAATCTCTTCACCATCTATAAATTGGCTGAGTGGTGAGAATCTTTGTTTTCTTGATGTTGAGCTTCAATCCATATTGAAGGTTGCAGTCCTTGACCCTTTGCAGCAAATGCCTCAGGTCCTCCTCTGTTTTGGCAACTAAGGCTGTTTCATCTGCACAACAGAGGTTGTTGGTGAGTCTTCTTCCAATCCTGAAGCCACACTCTTTTATAGAGCACAGCATCCCAGGTGATCTGTTCTTCATATAGATTGTAAAGATATATGATGCATTCCTAGCAGACAACTTTGTTAATTTTCAACCATATAGCATTTCCTTGCTCTGTTCTGATGACTGCCTCCTGGTCCAAATATAGGTTTCATATAAGCACAATCAAGTGTTCTGGTATTTCCTTCTTCTCAAAGTCAGCCACAGTTTGTTGTGATCCACACAGTCAAATGCCTTTCCATAGTCAATGAAACACAGATAGACATTCCTCTGGTACTCTCTGCTTTTAGCTAAGATCCATCTAACATTGGCTATAATGTCCCTGCTGCCACAGCCTCTTTTAAACTCAGCCTTTACATCTGGCAGTGTCCTATTGTTGTACTGTCCCAGTCATCTTTAGATAATCTTCAGAAGAATCTTGCTTGCACGTGGTATTAATGATATTGTCCGATAATTTCCATACTCAGTTGGCTCATCTATTTTTGGAATGGGGATAATATAGACTTCTTCCAGTCAATTGTTCAGGTGGTTGTCCAGATTTCTTGGCACAACCTGGTAAGCACATCCAGGACCGCTTCTGTTTGTTGAAATATGTCAATTGGTATGCTATCAATTCCTGGGGCCTTGTTTTTTTTGCCAGTTCCTTCAGAGCAGCTTGAACTTTCTCCTTTATCACCAAAGGCTCTTGATGACATGTTGTTTCATGAAATTCTTTGGTGTTAGCCAATTCCTTTTACTATAGTGACTGTGTATTCCTTCCATCATCTTCTGATGCTTCTTGGGTCATTCAACATTCTGCCCACAGCATCCTTAAGTATTGCAACTCTAAGCTTGAGTTTGTCCTTCAGTTCCTTCAGCTTAAGAAATGCCAAACGAATTTGGCCCTTTTGATATTTCAACTCTAGTTTTATGCACATTTCATTATAATACTTTGCTTTGCCTTCCTTGCTGCCCTTTGAAATCTTCTGTTCAGATCCTTAACATCTTGATTTCTTCCCTTTGCTTTGGCCTCTTGGTGCTCTAGTGCAATGTTCAGAGTGTCTCCTGACATCCATTCATCCATTTTGGTCTTTTCTTCCTCTGTCTTTGGTGTTGTGGGTGGTCTGTTGTAGGTTTGTTTTTTTCCATTTGGTAACACTCTGTGTGTGTGTTGTGTGTGTGTGTATATATATATTTGTGCCAACAATTCAATTCCACAGATATTTATGAAACAATTATTCCTGTCAGACATTACAAAGCAGAGTACACACACTAGGAAATGGAATAGAGAGTCTCTGTTTTTTACAACACTTCTTTCAGATAGGATCTTAGCTCTGTTTTTCTGGGAAATACATGCTATAAACAGTTATTACCTTGGGGAAAGTCTAAATTGCAGAAACTTAAATCTATGACTTCTTGTAAATACAGTACTCATGGCCCCTCAGGGAGGCTAACTTTTTCATTGACATTTTTTCAACCCCTTCTTTCTTTTTAAAAACATTTTAATTGTAATGTTAAGTTTACAGAAAAGTTAAGAGTTTCATTCATACATTGCTGCACATTTTTTTCCCTATAATTATATTTTATTAATTTTCATAAACATTTACAGAGATTTTGGGCTTCCACTCATTCATTGTTGCATTATTCTCTCTACCCTCCTCCCAGTTTGTTCTTGTCCAAATGCCACAGTGCTTGTCAAAGCCAGTTCTGATTAATCTTCTTTGTCAGTGTGTCCTTTGCCATTCCCTATCACTCCTCCCTGAGAGAGACTTCACCCTGAGTCATAAGGAAAAGAGGATGGCGTATTCTCTTAGCTACTTCCTGCTGAAAAGGGACGCTGTGGGTTTCAGGGTGAAGATCTTCTCTCACTACTCTAAAGGGCCCCTTTGGCAGTAGGAAACACATAGACTATTATGGAGATTGATTTTGGAATTTAGATGCACTCTTATTGATTGTGCTTGGCTGTACATGTTCATATCCTTGAAGATGTATCATGGGGGTGTTGCAACCTAGAAGACACAAATTTGACTAACAAGTTATAAGTACATGAGTCCAAAAATTATGGAAAAGTAAAAGAAAAGATTCTTTCATTGTTTTACAAACCCTCCCCCAGGTCCCCTCCACCATGTAGCCCTCGCTCTAGTCTCCTGTGATGACAGAAATACCCAGTTATATCTCTCTTTTAAACGGTTCTCTCCCTCCTCTGTTTCAGTGCAGTATACATTATTGAACCCATCTTACTCAGTCTCTCCCCAACCCCAAGGACAGTCCCATTCTACAACAGTGGCATCATGTAATATTTGTCCTTTTGTGACTGGGATATTTCACTCAGCATAATGTTCTCCAGAGTCAACCATTTTGAATAATATTGCATGAGTTCCTTGTTTTTTAATGCAGCATAGTATTCCATTGTGCGAATATACCACAGCTTCTCTAGCCATTCGTTTGTTGATGGGCACTTAGGTTGTTTCCAGCTCCTTGCTATCGTGAACAAAGCTGCAATAAACATGGGTGTGCATATATCTGCTTGGATGTCAGCTATGGTCTCTTCAGGGTATATTCCCAGTAGTGGAATTGCTGGGTCAAATGGTATCTCTATTTGCAACTTTTTGAGAAAGCGCCATACTGCTTTCCACAGGGGTTGCACCATTTTACACTCCCACCAACAGTGAATCAGGGTTCCAGTTTCTCCACAACCTCGCCAGCATTTGTTGCTTGCTGTTCTGTTAAATTTTGCTGCACATTTTTATCCCCTTTCCCTCTCTTCCTTTCCCCAGATCACTTTTGTTTTTTTAATATTCATTCATTGTTGCACAATTACTTCCCTCCTCCCCTCCCTTCAGTCCTCTTTGCAATGTACCTCCTATTCTGGGCTGCTGTCATACATATAATGCCTAATCATATATTCCTTTTAAACAGTTCTTTCCTTCATCTGTTTCAGTGCATCTACCTATCTATCCACACTTTTCCTATTCTCCTTCCAAACCCTTATGTGAGATCTGTTTTATAACAGTGGTGCCACACAGTATTTGTCCTTTTGTTACTGAGATATTTCATTCAGCATAATGTCCTGCAGGGTCACCATGTTGTGTAATGTTTTATGAATTCACTGTTTTTCAGTAGTGCATAGTATTCCATTGTATGAATATAACATAATTTTTCTATCCATTCATTTGTTGATGGGCACTTGTGTTGCTTCCATCTCTTTGATATTATAAATAATGCAGCAATAAACATGGATGTGCATATATGTGTTTCAGTGGAGGTTATGGTTTCTTTATGGTTTATTCCCAGTAAATAGTATTTCTATTTCTAACTTTTTGAGAAAGTGCCATACCCCCTTCCATAGTGTTTGCACCATTTTACATTCCTCCCACCAGTGAATAAGGGTTCAAATCTCTTCACAGTCTCACCAGCACTATTTGCTGCTCTGTTTAATTTTTCTATTGTTGCTGGGGTGAGATGATATAGTTGTTTGTACTCCTCCGTCTTTTGCATTCTTCATGGATGACATTCTCCCAGAGCTCATCTGGTCTTCTCCCATTAGTATTCAAGGCCTCAAAATTGTTCCTGAGATGGTCTTTAAATTTAGGAGGGATAGACTCAAAGTTAAACTTTGGTTCTTGTGGGTTTTTCTTTAGCTTTAGTATGAACTTGCCTATGCGTAGTTGATCTGATCCATGACCAGCACCTGGCTTAGTTTTCACAGCTGATACTGAGCTTCTCCAGTGATTTTTAAGGTAGTTAATAGCAAATATAGTTAATAGGGAGCTCTGGTGGCCTAATGACCAGCAGCAGCACTGCAACCCTGAAGGCATGGGGTTAAAGGCCACCAGCAGCTCCAAGGGAGAAGGATGGGCAATCTCCTGTGATTAACAGCCTCTGGAAAACAGCTGGAAGGTCAGCTATGGGTCAGTTCCAACTCAATGGTAAACAACAGAAAACAGAGATAATCTTTTTAGCTTACTTCTTAGTTTGTCTCAGAATTCATAATTTTCTTAGGGATTGAAGTATTTGCAGTATACCATACATGGATAGTCTCTCTTAAAAAAAAAAAAAAAGATTTACAGCCTTGGAAGTCTCTTGGAGGGTCACTATTAGTCAGAAACAACTTGATAGAAATAGGATTGTTGGTTGGTTGGTCTTTTGTTGGGTTTTTTCTTTCTTTTTTTAATTCTGTACCAGAGCAGATCTCCAGGTCAGTTTTGGGAGTGGCAACTGTTCCTGCACCCTTACCTCTATCAATCTGGTTTTGTTTACACTATTTGGTCCATTAATTTAATTTTTTTTTTAATCCATGACAAACTATCCCAGGGTCATATTGCTGTGTGGATTAATCTTTGTTCACTTTCACCAACACTTATTTCCTAAGCGGTAGTAAAACAATGGCAGTATTTTCCCTGTAAATTTTCAGAGTACTTTCTTTTTCAACTTCAAAACATGGTAATACCTATCAGAACAAAACCCCTCATTGCTGAGAAGTAGCTGACCTTCCAGCGCCTTTTCAGAGGCTGTTAATTCTAGTAATAGCTAGTGTGCCCAATTTCCACACACACACACACAAAAATTCCTAACTAGCCCTCTGTTATCCTCGGCTCAGAGTTCTTCTAAAAAGTCCTTATCTTTCGTGTCTTCAGAAACTTCATTAAGTCCTTAAAAACAACAACAAGGCAGTCATTACTATCCAATCAATAAAAAGCAAAAGGTCGGCACGTGGTTTACTAGTTTGGGCAGGAGGAAACTATTCCAACTACTGTTCTTGCTAGGATCAAACATGGCTGTGCTCAGCCAGCCCGTCTCGGGCACTCGGTTCGCTTTCCTACCACTCCTGCCAATCTCTAGCGCATTCCCACCACCTTTGCCAATCTTTGGATGTCCTTCCTTCCTCCTGCGCGGCTCCAGCCGGTCAGTCTTCTGGAGAGTGACAGACGCCCCACTTCCCGCCTCCACGCGAATGCCCGCCCACCGGGTCGCGCCAGCCAATCGCAGGCTGCGTTACAGCGGCTGGCAGCGCCTATCAGCCCCGCCCTTCCAGCCTCGGTGTGGCTTGTGGCTGCCGAGTACGTAGAGTCAGTTTCCGTCGTCGGTGCAGATCGCCTGGAGCCGCGTTTCTTGCTGTCTTGCTAGAGCTCAGCCCAGCGTCGCCCCGGCTGTCGGCTCCGAGCCTTAGCCATGGACTACGAGGAGGGTAAGTGCAGCCTCTAGCTGGTCGCCCTGTCGGGAAGGAGGCGGGGTGGCCTTCGCCGGGGGGGCTGTTAACCGACTCAAAATGGCCGCGTGGGCTTTGTTCTGCGAGATCGAACCTTCCTGCCGCCGCGGGCCCAGTTCCTGGAGGCAGACTTTTTAGGAATCTGGGCGTCCCAGTGTGTGGCCTGTCGAGCGGGGCCGAGGAGGCCAGAGCCGACCTCGGCTCGGAGAAGGACGCGCCCTGAAGCGCCAGGCGCCCGCCCGCAGGGGTCGGACTCGCCCTGGCGGCCGGTGCGTGGAAACCTCCCCTCCCCCGCCGCCGCCGCTTCCCTGTGCGGCGCAGACGGGGTGGGGCTGGGCCCCTGTCACCCCCGTGAGCCAGGCCAGAGGCCAACCCTTTAGTTTTGCGATGAGTCTCCACCACTGATTACTTCTCGCCACATTTCAAAGGCTTGGTCACATGATGCTTATGGAATCTCCCACTTGGAGACCACTTTAAAAGCCACCTATAAATAGTAGGTATAGGTGGATATCTGTACAGAATGGAAAGCAAGATACACATCTGGCTAGTAAACGAGGATATTTATCTGCCAAACTTACCTGACCGTTAATAATTAACTTGAAATACTTCCGTGAACCAAAACATTTGCCTGTGGATTAGGTAGGGATGGGAATCTAATTAATCTGTGTTCTTGCCACATAAAGTATTAAATGCTTATCAAAATCAGACCTGTTCCCAGGCGTCTGTGCTGGATTTACGAATTAAACTTGTAGCAGTTGACAGGTGTCTCTGCTGAGTTTACGAATTAAACGTGTGGCAGACGGCATTAGTCGTCTCATGTTGTTATGTGCCATCGAGTCGTTTGCGACTCATAGCGACCCTGTGTACAACAGCCCTAAACTCTGCTCTGTCCTGTGCCAATCACACTGTCTCTGACACTCCCATCCCAACTATCTCAGTCAACGAATCAGTCCACCTCATAGAGGACCTTCCCCTCCTGCACCGTCCCTCCACCCTCCCAAGCATGATGTCCTTCTCCAAGGACCGGTCCCTCCTTACAACATGTCCAAAGTATGTCAGACGAAGCCCCAGAATCCTTGCCTCCAAGGAGCCACCCGGTTTAACCTTTTTCAGGACAAATCTGTTTGTTTTCCTAGCAGTCCATGGTATTCTCAATACTCTTCTCCAGCACCACAGCTGTCTCATACCTGCTTTTAAACCATTTGCACAGGCTCACAAAGTAAAATTAACTTGACCTTCTCTGCTTCGTTAACTTTTATCAGAATTGGTGTTATGATAAAATGCTTTGTAGTGACAGTACTAAGAGACTTGGGAAAAAAATTGAAACTGATTTTTATGTTTCAGTGTAAAGCCAGTTTTAACTCCCACCTTTAACATTAAGTGAGGTGTGATTTCAGCATGTGAGTGTTACTAAGTGATCTTTTGATCTTAATTTGAGTTCATGATAGAAGCTGCTAAATTTCAGGGTATGAGACAGGATTGGAATAATCCTTTTGTGGGTACTTTGCATTGTTGAAGTTAGGGGCCAGTAGCCATTCTCCTTTGAATTAGGCAAGTTCAACTATTAGCAGCAATAGTACACGCAGGTGCTTTTGTTTGGTTCATTGAGCTTTGATCATTTTATAGAGATAGGCACCTTTTTTAAACGTCCAGAGTTGAGAGTGAACCTTACTTTGTGTAGTTTCAAAACCCTACAGTTTAATGATGGGACCAGTACTTACAAGGTCACCAGACTTTTATCATGGGGATTTGGGGCCAGTGGGAGACTGACACCTCCTTTGCCCAGGGCAGTAAGAGAATCTATTGTAGATAGTTGCGGGGGGAGGGGGAAGATAAACAACTAAAAAACATCACAATATGTTTGCTTTTCTTACTGCAGTTCTAAATACTGCCAGTGATGTCATTACTACAGGTTTAAATACTATCAGTGATAAGTACTCCCTCTTACTACTCTCCACAGCCCTTACTCTTTTAAGAGATGGAATTTGACTTAACAGTTTATAAATATCTAATTCTTTTTGGTGCACTAGGTTTCTTTTGTATACAAATGGCCATTTATATTCCTTTATTTCAGTTTTGTAAGATTAACTATATTAACATTTATTAAATTAGTTTGACAAGGAAATTGGTAGCAAGTTTTTGGTTGCCCTGTATCTTAAGTGTATAAAACACAAGTACATAAATCCATATGCATTTCTCAGAGAAGGTCTTGACAGACTAGTAGTAACATTGTATGAAACATATTTCAGGTATTTGTATTATTTTATATATAATTTAATCTGCCTTCCATTTTGCAACTTTGTATAAATCTATACTAGGTCCTGTCTGTTAGCTATCTAGATAGATCAAGTACTATCACTAATCTTTCCTATACTTTAAATGGTCAGCCTCCCATTTGAAGAAGTAGTGAAGAGATGGATTTATTTCTCAAATGAAATATTAATTGATAATTTTTGTAGCCATTTTCTGCAGTTAATTGCATTAATGGTATTTGAAAAATAGTTTGCTTTTTTAAAAAAATTGAGTATATAATTTTGTATTCAGTATTGCATATTGCACTAATTCTTTTCTGTTAAATGTCCTCATAGATTACTCACATTCTGCTTGCAGAAATGCTTACCAGGGCTTTAATGGTAAGTATCCTCTTTAATTTGCTCTTAATTTTGTTGAACTATATTTTAATCTTTTCATATTCTTAATAAAATACCAGTGAAAAAAACTAGTTCCTTGCTCCCACCAGTGTTTTGGTTCTTGATAATTAATATCAATCTTACTTTAATAAATGCCATACTATATGGTATTTATACTAAGAATTTGGGATCCAGAATGTTGGAAGGAATTTTGATTAGTTTGATTCTTATCTGTTTTGTTCCAAGAGGCCTGACTACATTCTGAGTGACAGATTATAAGACACTGACTTAATTCTTTTTGTTGATTAGGTATTTTGATACTGAAAAATGCTGGATGAATGATTGGAATATGGTTCTATGTTAATTCTTTTATAATACATTTGAATATGATTGGAATATGGTTCTATGTTAATTCTTTTATAATACATTTGAATTTTTTGAGGTCCATTGTCTTATTGCATCCAAATAGTGGTGTTAGATGAAGAGTTGTCCAGAGGTGTAAATGAAGAAGATATTTACTGACTTGCATATAATGTTAATAGTTGTGACTATAGCGTTTTAATAGTTGCTTGCCAGACAGGATAATTAAACAGAAGTGACAATGCACGAAGAAGTTAAAAACATTTTCTGAAGGTTCTGAGGGAGTAATGTTAAGCATCTTGATAGTCAGATGCAAGTCCTGTTGTGTAGAAGAAAGTTATCTGTAATATATCCACAAACTAAGCAAATAGGAAATGAAGAAGACTATATTTTAAAATTTATTTAAATAAAATTTTTATTTTATGCAAGGTACTTACAAAATTCATCTACATTATTTTTCAAAGACTATTATTTTTATAGGTATAATTGCTTTGAGCTCTGGTGGTCTTGTGGTAAGGAGTTGCACTGGCATCCCTTATGTATGCAGTTCAAAACCACCAGTTACTCTGCAAGAGAAAGATGGGCATTCTCCTCCCATGTGATTTTCTGCATCTGAAAACCTGCTGGAGAGTCAGCTGTGGGTTACTTCCAACTTGATGGCACACACTATTTATATTCTCTAAAGGTGTAGAGAGGATTTGAGATACAAACAGCTCAACATGTAGAAAATAGTCAATATATATTGAGTGAATGCTGAGGAAAGGAAGCCATTTTTAACCTGAGAGTGATATAAAATTACTAAAGGACATTTAGTTTGCTTCTAGTAGGTGCACTTGAAAGCTAGACAATTAGAAAGTGGTTTCATAAATTTAGATATAAAGATTTAGGATTTATTAAGGTTTTCCCTTAAGTTTAGTGATTCTCATCTGAGAGTGATTGTTAGAATCCAGGAAACTTGGTTCAGTTCATACTTTAGATGGCTTCAATTTTAATCTCAGAACAAAGGGCCCTAGGGTAAGTGTTGTGGAAAACCACTGGTGAACTAGTTGGTGTAATGAGCAATGCATACTTTCCAAGTATAAGAAGATTTTTAGATAATAAATAATATCACCACTAGTTTTATAAGAAGAATCTTCAATATTGGGAAGATGTTATTTAAAACTCAAGATGGTGGATATAATTTTTCTAAAATACTCATATTTTCTTGTAAGCTCAAATTTGATTAGTATTATCGTCAGCAACAGATAATGCCAACTCTTTCAAGTGACAAGTTTTGACAAAGTATCTACCAAATACCCAACTCCAAAAAACATAGTTTACCTGCCAATCTTTCTAGTGTAATTAGTATTTCTTGTAAAAAGTGACAAGTTTACTTTATGCATCAAACACTCACACAAGGACTTTTCCTGGAAACAGCCATTATATTTTGTTTTGCAGCTCAGTGGGTTGATTTATACTTTCCATTTCACTGCAGGTAACAAAAGAAAGATGTGTTCTTAAGGATCACATTTATGATTTAACAAAGTTAAGAATTTTTACACTCTCATCAGAACATTGCTGCTTGGAGACCAAGATGACAAAGCTGCATTGCACATATTTCGAGCATGTTGCTAGGAGAGGTTATTCCTTGGAGAGGGATATCATGCTTGGAAAGATGGAAGGTTGATGAAAGGAAGACTTTCAACCAGGTGGATTGACACAGTGACGGCTGCAGTGGGCTTAAGTGTGTCAGGAAGTGTGCGGATGGCACAGGATAGGACTTGGTTCAGATCTGTTTATCGTTAATATCACATGCAAGCAAGATTCTGCTGAAAATTATCCAAAAATGACTGGATCAACACGTCAACAGAGAACTGCCAGATGTGCAGACTGGGTTTAGAAGAGATTGTGGTACTAGGGATATTATACGGATTCTATAGGAATGGATTATATAGATAGATTATATAGATGGATCTTCGCAGAAAGCAGAGAGTACTGAAGGAATGTTTGCGTTTTATTGACTATGCAAAGGCTTTTGACTGTGTGAATTACAGCAAACTATGGTTGACTCTGAGATGAATGGGAATCCCAGAGTATTTGATTGTGCTTATGCAAAACCTAAACTTGAACCAAGAGGCAGTTGCCAGAACAGAATAAGGAGATACTGCATGGTTCAAAATCGGGAAGGGTATCTGCCAGGGATGTATTCTTTCTTCATATCTTTTCAATCTGTATGCAGAACAGATCATCCGGGACCCTGGGCTGTATGAGGAAGGTGGCATCAGGATTGGAGGAAGGTTCATCAACAACCTGCATTATGCAGATGACACAACCCTGCTTGCTGAAACTGAGTAGTACCTGAAGCGCTTGCTGCAAAAGGTCAAGGACTGCAGCCTTCAATAAAGATTGAAACTCAACATCAAGAAAACAAAGATTCTCACTACTGGTCCAATTGGTATCATCGTGGATGGTGAAAGAGATTGAGATTGTTAACAGTTTATGGTCTCTTGGTTCCACAGTCAATACTCTTGATACAAGCAGCCAGGAAATCAAGAGACGAATTGCACTGGGAAAGTCAGCCATCAGGGACCTCTCCAGAGCACTGAGGAGCCGTAACGTCAGACTGGAGACTAAAGTGTGCCTGATCTGGGCCATAATCTTCACAATTGTGTGCTATGTGTCAGCTTGCTAGTGACTAGAGCTGATAGAGAATTGATGCCTTTGAGCTGTGGTGCTGGAGAAGAGTTGAATATATACCATGGGGTGTTGAATATACCATGGATTGCTAGAAAAACAAACAGGTTCATCCTGGAGAGGGTGAATCAACACTGTTCCTTGGAGGCAAGGATTCTGAAGCTTTGTCTGATGACATACTTTGGGCATGTTGCAAGGAGTGACCAGTCCTTGGAGAGGGACATCATGCTTGGGGGAGTGGAGGGACTGCAAAGAGGAAGACCCTCAATGAGATGGATCGATTCAGTGATTGGGGTAATGTGAGTAGGTGTGTTGGAGACAGTGAGGTTGGCACAGGATAGAGCAGGGTTTAGGGTTCTCGTACAAAGGGTTGCTATGAGTTGGAAGCAACTCGATGGCACATAACAACAACAACATGGGTCATAGTGATGGTATCTAACAACAACAACATCAGAACATTATTAGGAGAAAGGGGCTTTTCCCCCCTTGCTATAATTTCTCTAAGATGTTTAAGGGTACAGTGATTGCTAATACTGTTGCTTTAACCTTGATTTGTGTTAAAGTACCAGCACTGTTACACATCAGTGCAGCAGTACCTTCCTTGTAACTATCAACTCCATTGGAAGATGGATGTTGCAATATTGTTTATGAAGATAGTTTTGGTTAAGATAGTTTTGGCCTTTTGTACCCACTCTGGAAGGGTCTTGGCATTGTTCAGCAGACCGTTTTTTGGTGGCCTAGTGTTCAGGAGCTACACTGGCAACTGTAAAACGTAGTTCAAATCTACCAGCTGTGTCAATAGAGAAAGATAGACATGTGATTTACAGCCTCTGAAAACCCACTGGAGGGCCAGCTGTGAGTCAGTTCTGACTCCACGGCACATAACAATTGCATGTTACAGGATAGGGCAAGGTTCTGATCTGTTTGCTTAAGTTATAGTTGACTTGACAGTCGTGCAACAGCTCTCAAGTATACAAATTTTTGTACAAATCAGATTCTAATAATAAGACTAGGACTATATATTTAAGATAAGGTCACAAATGGGTGCTAGACGAGAATTGTTAGTACCATGTCACAACGTCAGCCTTTTATAGATAGAAGAAAGTAACTCTGCTGATTGATATTTGACTTCAGAAGATGAAAGTATTTCAGTAAATAGGTTTTTGGAGTGGTAACTGAGTGTCTTTCATGTTGTTGTTGTTATGTGCCGTCGAGTCACTTGCGACTCATAGCGACCCTATGTACAACAGCCCTAAACTCCGCTCTGTCCTGTGCCAATCGCACTGTCTCTGACACTCCCATCCCAATTATCCCAGTCACTGAATCAATCCACCTCATAGAGGGCCTTCCTCTCCTGCGCTGTCCCTCCACCCTCCCAAGCATGAAGTCCCTCTCCAAGGACCGGTCTCTCCTCACAACATGTCCAAAGTATGTTAGATGGACCCTCAGAATCCTTGCCTCCAAGGAGCCACCCGGTTTAACACTTTCCAGGACAAATCTGTTTGTTTTGCTAGCAGTCCACAGTATTCTCAATACTCTTCTCCAGCACCACAGCTCAAAGGCATCAATTCTCCTTCTATCCTCCTTGGTCATTGTCCAACTCCCTGGTGCATAACAAGTGATTGCGAAGACCATGGACTGTTTCAGACGCACCTTAGTCTCCAGAGAGACACCATTGCTCTTCAGTACTTTGGAGAGGTCTCTAACAGCAGACTTTCCCATGGCAACGCGCCTTTTAATTTCCTGGCTGCTGGTGCCAAGACTGTTGACTATGGAGCCAAGCAAACTAAAGCTGTGTACAATCTCAATCTCTTCACCATCCATCCTGATGCTGCCAATTGGTCCAGTGGTGAGAATCTTTGTCTTCTTGACATTGAGCCTCAATCCATATTATAGGCTGCAGTCCTTGACACTCTGCAATAGGCGCTTCAGGTCCTCTTCAGAATCACAGAAGCCATGGAAGCTTCATATATAAGTTATTAGATGGAGGGCTGGTCAAAGGGAGATAGATGTGAAGGGAGAGGGTAGAAATGGATGGGTATCCTGGTGGATGGTGGAGCAGGGAAATAAGTGGGTAAAGATGCGTGTGAGAAAGGCAGTGACAACACTGACTCTAAAGTTAACTCCGCAATAAGGGATATACCTTTAACTTGCTGGTCTGTCTGATACTTCTCTAAATCTGAACATTCACATTAAGACAGACTAGGAAGAATTGGCCATCCACTTCTGAAATAGCAGGCCTCTGAAAGCCCTATGTGTATCTTTCATGTAGTAGGAAAAATACCTTGACTTTGGAGAAGAGGCTGCCTGTGGGACTCAGGGCAAATTATTTCATATCTTAAAGCTTTGTGAATTTGTAAAGTGAGAAGATTTGAAGATTGCTTACAGTATTCAGGTGACAAGATTCTGGATAGTACCTTTTTTTAAAGTAGTAATTGTTGCCATTATTTTAATTAGGACTCTAAAGTTTTAAATGATTCTAAGTAAGAATACTTAGGGCATGCTGCCAGGAGGGGATCCGTCATTGGGAAAGGATATTATGCTTGGAAGGGCGGAAGAGACATCTCAGGAGAGGAAGACCCTGGATGAGATGAATTGACACAGTGACTGGGTTAATAGGACAGGTGTGTTGGAGACTGTGAGATTGACTCAGGATAGGACAGAGTTCAGAGCTGTTGTACATAGTGTTGCTGTGAGTTGCAGGTGACTAAACAGCACATAATAACAAGAAGAAAGAATTGCAGCAGTTGGCTCTGATATGTCAGAGATTATGAGAATGGCACAGGATAGAACAGGTCTTTTTTTTAGATCTTATAGACTCGTACTCAACAACAACACAGAAAAATTTAGGGAGCTCTGGACTTTGTGTAGAGGAGTGAGGCGTCCGGATTAGAGGAAGATTTATTAACAATCTACATTATATAGATGGCACAACCTTGCTTGCTGAAAGTGGTGAGGACTTGAAATGCTTGCTCCCAAATATTAAGGCCTACAACCTTCAATATGGATTGCATCAACATGAAGAAAACAAAGGTTTCACCACTGGGCCAATAGACAATATCATGATAGATGGAAAAAAAGCTTGAAATTATCAATGATTCCATCTTTCTTGTATCAGCAGTCAACATCTTTGGTACCAACAGATAGGAGATGAGGAGATGTTGAGCATTGGGCAAGTTCCCCTGTCATCACCTCTCCAAAGTACTGAAGTGCAGTGGTGCCAATTTGAAGACCAAGGTGTACCTGGTTCAGGCCGTTGTCTTTTCAGTCACTTGCTATGCATCTGAGAGCTTGACAATAAATGAGGATGATAGAAGAAGAATTGATGCCTTTGAATGGTGATGTTGGAGAAGAGGACTGATTATCCCATGGATTGCCAAAAGAGATATTTCTAGGGAAATGTACAGCTAGAGTGCTCCTTAGAGGCAAAGATGGCAAAGGTTCAACTCTCATACTTTGAGCATGTTGATAGGAGATGCTGTTCCTTGGAAAGGGATAATCCATGGACATGCTTGGATAGGTGGAGAGTCAGCAAAAGAGGGGAAGAGCCTCAAGATGGAGTGACATAAGATGGCAGCAGTGTGCTCAAGTGTGTCAGAGATGAAGGGATGGCACACGATAGGATAGGGTTCAGATGTGGTCATAAGGTTGCTCTTAGTTGTACTTGACTGCACCTAACAAAGTAACAGTGGTGTAGTCTGTAAGGTGTTGCAGTACTCACATAAATATGGTTCCTCTGGTGGTTCAAATCCAACAGTGGCCCTATGGACGAAAGATGGGCAATCGCATGTGATTTAAAGCCTCCAGAAAACCTACTGGAGGGTCAACTATGAGTGAGTTCCTACTTGATAGCACAAGAGAGAAAAAGAATTAAAATTCAGTATTGTAAAAAATAAGTAATTATTCATGTATAAAATTTGAGGAGGATAGGACTGAAGCATTTTACAGGCATTTATAGGAAACATTTGAAAAATATTTCCTCATTTTTATACATAAAAATTATTTAAATACAGTGCTGTATTTTTACATGTAACATACCTGAGTAAGTAAGCACACATAAAATGTATGGGAACATAATGTGTAGGGGTTGCTCAATTTTGTGGGGGGTAGGGGTGTGTATAACCTAGGTGTTATTTGTACAGTGAATTCATTTTGTTAACTGTTGTGGTGGTGTAGCCTATAGGACACTGAACAGCTAGCTAGCTCAACAGGTTTGGCTCTGCAGGGGAAAGATGAGCAGTCTTGTAAGAGTTACAGCGTCCAAAAATCTGCCAGAGGGTCAGCTCTGAGTTGGTTCTGACTCAGCAGCAGTGAGTGTTGTATTTGTTTTTAATGTCACAGGTTAGGACATAGGCAAAATTTGTTCAAATTTCCTTGATAGTCTTTTGGAATTGGAATTTTGTTTCAGTGTACACATTGCTAGAATTGACATTGGTTTTCTTGATTCAAAGTATTTGAGGATTTAAATATTTGTTGAGTCCTTATTTACAGGAACCATAATCACTTAGCCCTATCTATTATTTTTCATTTTTTAATATAAATTTTAATAACTGAAGATTGCTAATTGAAAATGACTGCATCTTTTAATATTTTGAGAGTAGTCAGGTACAGAAAATAATATTTACTGACAAAAACTTTCTTTTTGAAATTATGAACTGCTGACTATTCTTGAGAAAAGAGAATTGTGTTACTTGGCACTGAATTTGCTCTGTCTTAACAGCCACCTTCAGTACTTAAAAGGACCGTTGGTAGCACAGTGGTTCAAGTGTTCAGCTGCCAATTGAAAGGTTGCCTCTTACAATACACCAACTGCTCTGTGGGAGAAAAAGAAAATGTGGCAACCCATTTCTAGAAGGATTTACAGCCTTGGAAACCCTATGGGGCAGTTCTGCTCTATCCTGTAGATTTGCTATGAGTCAGAATCAACTTGATGAACATAATAGAGAATTATGATTTCTTTAAAAATTAAGCTTTGCTAGCAAAAATTTTTCAGCAGATTGTCACCTGTGGTTTTCCATTATTGCTTAGTGTGAGTTTAATGTATATATTATTAATACATTGATAATATTAATGATGAATTATTATCTCAAGTGTTAGATATAAACATCTGATTTCCTGAAAGAGCAGTGGATTTTATATGCATTTTTCTTTTTTCCCTTGACTTTTTTTTTTTTTTTTTCTTCTTTCAGGAATGGATCGTGACTTTGGCCCTGGATCTTATGGAGGTCTGGTATTCAAGAATATTTTTCAAAAATAATTTTTTTGCAATGTCAGTAGAAATGAATAGAGTTTGATTTTGTTTGGTTTTTTGTTTTTAATCTTTTATAGGGATGGATCGTGACTATGGCCATGGATCCTATGGAGGTCAAAGACCCATGGACACCTACCTAAATCAGCCATATGGCATGGATAGTCATGGTGGTGGTGGTGGGGGCAACAGGTAAATTTCTTAATTACTTGACTAAGTAGGTAAGATTCTGCATATGTTAAGTGTTTCTTAGTCATGTTAGGGTACTTGGACTTTCCTATTTGATATTGAACACTCACTGTAAATACTTAAAGGTATTAACTAATAGGCATGCAGATTACCTCATGATTATTGGCAGGCATCTTCAGATCTCAGATAATAGAAAATTATTCCGTTTTTTTAAAATGACCATTTTTAAAAAAAGCAACTTTTCCTTTTAGCTCCTTATCAGTTAACATGGTCTAAACAAATGAAATGAAAAATATATTGATGTTTTTTGGTTTTAGTATTAAAAAAACAATTTCCATATGTGAGGTAATAAGTATAGCAGCAAAGCAGTTTTTTTTACTTTAATGAGTTTAAACACATCTAGCATTATTCATTATTTAAAAGACATTTAAAATAGATAGTCTTATAATTTTAAAGTGTGTTGGAAGGGCATGCTGTAATAATAAAAATGTTCTTTAAGTCATGTTCAGATTATTTATTTGCAAGTACTGCTGATAGAAAAAACTGTTCTAGGCTGGGAGCATTATATTTAGACCATGGGTAATAATATACTTTTGCTTTTTTTAATGCAGTATAGTTTAGATTGTATTTACATTTCACTGTTGTTATTTTGTAAAATTTAGTTTAACAGTGATAGGCTTTAGAGTTGACCATATTTCAGGCAAAGGAATTCTTTTTGAGGCACAAAGGAATATGACTAGAACACTAAGTAGGAAACGTTTGAAGCCGTTGTTGACTGAGTTGGAGGATGCAGATTGCTTAATGATGGACTAGATGATGCTTACTTTCCTTCTGGTTCAAGTGTGCCACAAAGAAACAACTTTACGTATGTGATAGAGATTTTGAAAATTGTAGTTGGAAAGAGGAATAATTTCTATGTGGTTACTAGAATTCAGAGCTAAATAGGATTTGAGTAATCTGCAGATACTTGAACATGTTTAAGTGCTTTATCAGTTACTGCCCTATTGTATTGTCAATGTAATATATAACTGTTTCTGTAAATGTTACTGTTTATATTTCATGTTCAATTGTGGGCTTTATAAAACTGTTGTAAGATGTTAAGTCTTATAATTCATGTTTTGAATTTGTGAGACGTGAGATGACATTTCTTTTGTTGTCTATAAAAACATCAGGAAACTCTTTTAAGAATAGTTTTATGTGATAATTTCTGGCTTGGAAATAATGTTTCAAATTACTATGGAAATTATAAAATGTATTTGTCATGTGCTCTGTAAATTCATATGCAAAAGATATATGTTGGTGATATGTATTTATTCTTCTAGCCTTGTTAGATTTATTAGTCTGTAAGTGAAAAGTACCTGAGGATTGATTATTGGCCTTCAGTAAAATTTGGCAGTTTGTTGGACTTAATCACCAGAGATAACTTCCCAAATTTTGACTATTACACACGCAATGAAGCAGTTTTATGCTCTAGATTATTTGGGATGCAAGAAGATCTGTTCTGTGTCACAAATAGCCTACATCTGTTTAGTCTTCAATTTTTGTCTTTCTGGAAAGCCAAACTATTAGAAATATTTTGAATATTAATATTAGAGATGGAGTCAAAGAAAGTTTTAGTAGCTCTTGAACTGTAGAAAATGTCTTTTTCAAAGACTAGGGCTGGGCTTAATTAATGACAAATATTTTTAATTAACTAGATAATGCTAAAAAGTAGATTTTTAAAGTTAAGGTTTATTAAATGCAAATCTTATGTATAAATGGACTCAGGTAGCTTTCTATCTGGTCACATGTTGAACTGCCCAGCCCTAATCATGTGTGAATAGAATTAGAACTGTGCAAAGCAGTATGGTATAAATGAATTTTAGTTGATAAATGTCAACTGATAATTTGTCTTTTGAATTGTCTAACACTAGTAAGCTTACTTTTGTTTTTTCCCTCACTGTGCAACTTTTCCAGGTTTGGACCTTATGAGTCTTACGACTCCAGGTCTTCTCTGGGTGGGCGAGATCTGTACAGATCTGGCTATGATTATAATGAACCCGAACAAAGCCGCTTCGGAGGTAGTTATGGTGGTCGATATGAGAGCTCCTACCGGAATAGCCTTGACTCTTTCGGAGGTAGAAACCAGGGCGGGTCTAGCTGGGAAGCACCTTACTCCCGTTCAAAATTGAGGCCTGGGTTTATGGAGGACAGAGGAAGAGAGAATTACTCTTCCTACAGCAGTTTTTCTTCACCCCATATGAAGCCTGCACCTGTAGGCTCTCGGGGGAGAGGAACGCCTGCTTATCCTGAAAATACGTTTGGAAGCAGAAACTATGATGCTTTTGGAGGACCATCAACAGGCAGAGGCCGAGGCCGAGGAGTAAGTACAACAGAATCTTTTCAGATTCTTTTCACTAGTCACTCTTTTAAACCCTTTCAAGACCATGGTTTTCAACTAGAATAAACACTGATTATCTCAGTGTGTTTGGAGTAAATTCTGCGTAATAAATTTTAGGTTGACTAAAAATTTTTCTAGCACCTTAGAAAATAAGTGGCAGTATAAGCTGATTGTTTATGAAGTTTTGCCAAATCTACTTTTATTAAAAAGGTGTGGATGTTAAGTTTGGTCTAAAAGGGGTTAAAAGGAGTTGCATTTTTCCGTGTGAACACTAGCAGTTTTGCTGGTGGGATAGTTGTGGATTATTGTAAAAGGTAATTGAACCCTTTGAGCTTTTTAGTAGGTTAAAGGTGCAATGTATGATAAAATGTTTACATGTTGCTGCTACACTCTCAAGTAGAATTTCTTCATAGCTTCTTATTTCACATTCAACACAAGAGATTACAACAAGTTGGCCTAGTTCAGGGTAGTTTAACCTTATTCACATGGTAAACAGTTGTATGTTTGGTAGGTTGTAGAATGACTTGCTTCAGTTTGGTTTTGCTGGTTCAGTCTCTTAAAATATGTCTATTGCAAATTGTTTTATTTTTGCTTTTGTCACTAGCTTTACTACTGAGGAGTCATTTTCTACATGTACAAATAAATTTATGGACTCTTCCTTGGAAGTATTATTTTGTAAATGGCTTACTTGACGTGTTTAATTTCAAATAATGTAAAAAATCATACTGTGCATTCTTAGGTAACTTTATTGGAAATTTTACTTAGTTAAGTTTATGTAGATTGAAGGGCTATTATGTAGTTTGATTATATAAAGAATTCTTGCTGTGTAATGTAAGAAATGGCGTGCTGGTTTTTTTTAAATCCTTGGCTTTATATTCTTAGCAGAGGAAAATACTTTTGATAAACATGTAGTGAGGCACACTTTTGCCTGGTCATTAGCTTGTGATGTCAGAATAGTTTTTATACTTATGTAGAAATTTTACGCTTTTAACAGTTAATCTTATGTAAAATGCATTGCACCTTTAATAGATTAATTAATGAAGTTACCTCCCCAGTACACAAATATAAGCAACTGACTTGTTGCTTTCTGCTGTATTTTGTAGGTTTATAAAAAAATTGTTGGGGCAATAGACTTTGGATTTAGAAATTGAAAACCTATTCCAGTTAAAAAAATTTGGAAAAAGTTTTCCATGCTATATATTATTTTAGGCAGAGACTCTCTTCTTAATGAGACTATACTCAGTTTTATTTTCATGAGATTAAAGCAGATGTTATTCTATATTATACTCATCACTGTTGTCTAAATGAAGTTTTCTTTCTTTTCCTTTTGTTATTGAAGTAGATGAACTGATAGGATCTTCTCTTTCCAGTCATTACTAGTACAGTACTCATTTGATCCTCTCTTTAGATTACTCCCCAGTCATTTTCTTCTAAAGTAAGGGTAGACTGCATTTCTGTGGACACGTGGCCTCTTGGTATAGTGAATCTTGTTAATGACGAGAAGATGAAGGGACACAAAGAGTTTGGTTGCATGACTCTTCGTCTGTAAACTTTTGCTTCTTGGGCTTATGGGTCAGACAATGTTTCTGTAGGTTGGAATGTGAATGGAACTGAAAATACAATTCTTTAATTGGTAATGTGTCTTGGAAGTTATGCTTTGACTGTATTTGATGCTATTGTTCCATCTAGCCTTCTCATTCCCTTTTTAACAGAGAAATCCTAAATGATTTCTTAAGTTTTTTTACAGTTTATAATCCAGATAAGGTCTTTTGAGCATTTTAGTTTTAAGCCAGATTTTAGTAAAATGAAAGGTTTCTTCTAATGTCTTTTCGTGGGAGAACATCATTTAGAAACTCTGAAGAGGAATTGTCATACAATTATACAAGTGGTAATATTCTGACAGGCACATATGTTGTTTATGATCTCAAGTAACATTGAATTGTAAACATTTTTTTTAAATGTAGGAAATACCCATGTTTGCTCTACTGGAAATGAAAATACCAATTCACTGGATTTGAGTTGTATAATAATACATAAACATGTTTAATGTGTTTATTCAGAATGGATGTGTAAATTTAAAGTTCTATTTTGGAAATTCTCAGGTGCAAATTAGTGGATAGATAACATGTAAACTTTAAATAAGTCATGTTTTATCATTGGAAAATATGCTAATATTTCCTGATTTGACAAATTTACAGCATATGGGAGATTTTGGAAATGTTCATAGACCCGGAATTGTTATTGACTATCAAAACAAATCCACCAATGTGGCAGTTGCTGCTGCAAGAGGAATAAAGAGAAAAATAATGCAGCCATTTAATAAGCCTGGTGGAAGCTTCATCAAGAAACCCAAGCTCACAAAACCCGTGGAGAAGGCAAACCTCAGCAAATCACCTAGTAAGTAAGAAAATATAATTGTACCAATTCATAATTTTACTTTATTATTATTCAGTGCTTTTCAAGGGAGCTCTGATGGTATAGTCTACAGGGACCTCTGTCAGTTCAAATACACCAAAGGAGAAAGATGAACATTCTCCTTGTGATTTACAGCCGTGGAAGCCCATTAAAGGGTCAGCCTTGGCCACTTCTGACTTGGTAGCAATGAGAGAGAGAGATAGCATACTTGTAAATATTTTTTCCTAAATTTACATAGAAAAATTGTAAAATGGTTTTAATTGCCAGAATTCTGTTTGAATCCAGTTTAGTGGGAACATTTAAAAGCTGTAATATTTCTACTTCAGTATCCAAAATTTTAGAATACTGGAATTCAATACAGGAATTGAAATTCAGGAAATTCAAGACTTTAACTTTACATCAGTCTTGCACAGGGATGTAATAGCAATCTTGTTTCCATTTGTATTTCATTTTGTAGATGGTATCAACCTTTTTTCAGGTACATTTTAGAATATATTGATTTATTTTCTACTGTGTTATAGTTAATTATTTGTATTATGGTTTAGAGCAAGGGTCAGTAAACCATGATTTGTGTTCTAAATCTAATTATTAGTCTTCAAGCTAATGATTTTTATATTTCACAGGATTGTAAAGAAACACAACAGAAAGAATATGTGGCAAAAACCTTTACATAGCCAGCAAAATCGAAACACAAATTTTCTGTTTGTTTATAGAAAAAATTTGCTAACTCTTGTATAGAGGACTGTTTTGAGAATAAAGATGTCTTTTTAGCATTCTTGATTTAAATTTTACTATTATTGTAGTTTTAATTTAACTTTTCAAACCTAAAGGATAGTTTAGAATGAATCATTGTTGAAGTATAAACCTTTTACATTTTTGAAAAACCTATGTATATAGTTTTTAGTTCAAACCTCTGTTTTGAGGTGTTAAATATATATTCTTAGAGGTGTGTTAAATCACAAAAATCCTCTTTATGAAGACCCAGTAAAGACATTTTTCATTATCATTGTTGTTTTTATTGAGTTAGATCCTGTGTCATGGTGAGCCCTGCATTTTTTGGAAATAGTACTGTCCCTGAGCTACCGTCATGATCTTTGGGGGAGGGGTTCAGATGTTCTAATACTTAAGATATTTTTTGGTTGGTTTGTGATTGGCTGAAAGTAGATCACTAGGCCTTTCTTCCTTTTTTTTTTTTTAAAGTCCGGAAGCCTTGCTGACACCTGTCAGCGTTGCTGATACACCTTCATTATCATAGCAGTTTGCAAGCCTCTACTGACAGGCCAGTGTTGGCTGTGCATGAAGGGCACTGGCCTTAGGGTTTCCAAGACTGTATGTAATCGTTATGGAAACAGACTACTGTGCTTTTTTCTTAGGGATTGACTGCTGGCTTTTAACTGGTGACCTTTTGGTTAGTAGCTGACCAGCTTTCTCTGCTACTGGGACCCAAAATGTGTACTTTTTTTAAAAAAAGCAAACCAAATGTATTGCTGGTGAGCCAAATCTGATGCACAGTTATCTTTGTAATACTGAGTAGGACTGCTTCATGGGGCTTCCACAGCTATAATCTTATAGAAGCAGTAAAATGAGCCTATACAACTGACCTTCCAGTTAGCAGCAGAGCTAATGCACCAAGGGCTCTGTAAATGTATACATGACAAATACGTACTAAACATTTTCTGTGAAGTTTTTGTTCTGAGGAATTTATGCTTTTGTACTAGGTATTTTTATAATGATAATCCTAAAAAGATTTAGGGGAAAAAGCCAACTTAAAATACCATTTCATAATCATTTTGATGGTCATATTTAAAAAAAAAAAATAAAAAGGGGGGGGAATAGTAAGTGTTGGGATATAGGGACACTAAGATCCTAACTAGTTGCTAGTAGGGGATGTGAGATGATGAAGCTATTGTGGAAAACAATTAATTCCCCCGGAAGTGAAATGTAGGTTTTATGACTCAGCAGTACTATTCCTAGGTATTTAGTGTCAAAATTGGAAAAACAGGTGTTTAGATATTTATGGGCAGTGTTTATAGCACCATTAATGACAGTGTTCAAAACATGGAAGCAGTCCAGGTGTCCATTAATAGATGAATGGAAAAACAAAAATGTGCATCCCCACCTTTTATTTAGCAGTCAAAGAAGTGAAGTACTGCTAGATGGTGAAATATGAATATTATGCTGAGGAAATAAACCCAAACAGAAAAGACTGCATGTTGCATAGTTATTACTTATATGGACTGTTCAGGATAGGGAAAAGATAGCAAGACAGATTTAGTGATTGCTTAGAGGCTGAGAATAAGGGAGAGTTGTGTCTGCTAATGGCATAAGGCTGCCCTTTGGGTGATGAAAAAGTTCTAGAACTAGGTAAGTGATGGTTACATAACACTGTGAATATGCTTAATATGACAGAATTGTCCACCTCACATATATTTTACCTTCCTCTACCCATCAAATAAAAACAATAAAAACAGTTCAAGAAGAACTCACTGTTTTGAGAGGGGAGTTTATATATTTTAAAACATTTTGGCAGCACTTTTGTATGAATATGTGAATTCCTTGCATCTAAGACTCCAACATTCTTGAAAGTCCATTTTCATTCAGGGTTACTTTAGTAACCTCCAAGGTGTGATAAACAAGATGATTTTAAGTCATGTGGATATTACTGCTTGAATAAGGATAAGGAAAAAAATGCATGAATTGAATGAAAAATATGTAATGATCATATAGATGAGAAGTGAATATTGCCACATTCATACTAGAAGTATTCAAATAATGTCAAGTTCAGATATTTCTGGTTAAACTCAGTTTAAAGTCATAGTTACTGAGTAAATCTTGTATTTGTACTTTAGGGACTGGTTAGCTGAAAAAGAGTTGTTGTTGATTGCCATCGAGTTGAGCTTGACTCATAGTGACCCTATGAACAAAAGACCTGAAGCCTTTCTCTAACTGTCATCATTTATCACAGTTCATAGTTTCTGGGGTCATGATGTTTAGGAAGTGGAAGCCACTCCTGCTTCCAAGAAAAAGAGAGTGGAGAATTGATTTTTATTTTGTCTTTTTGATATCAGCAAAAACTGATTCCAAATCAGAAGAGAAAGAAAAACGACGAATTGAAGCTCGGCGAGAGAAACAGAGGCGTAGAAGAGAGAAAAATAATGAGAGATATGGAGATGGATACAGGTTTGTGCTTATTAAAATCAGAATATTTGATCATTTAAAAAGTTTTTTATTACATTATTTTAAAGGAGCACAGTACATAATTGGTGATTAGTTTTTGAGTCAGTATGTTTACTTCTTAGTTACAAGGTTTTGCTCTGGTGTTCTTGGTTTGAAGAGTGTAAGGTTGCCAAGAGCAGCTCCACAGCCATGGCAAAGTGTCTCACATCAGTAGTCTTCAGTCTTTACCAATGCAGGAGATCTGGTGTTTTGGGTTTGTTTTTTTTTAAGGCATTTGAGATATATATTTATATGCATTCAGCAAGTCCTTCATAATGGTAATCTAAATTTATAATATCTGGGAAGACAGTGTTCTAAAAAAAAAATTTGTGAAGAAAACGCTAATCTTTTTGAGAAATTTGACTGTATAGAGATTTTATGATAATATTTGATGGGAAAATGAAATGCTAAAAATATTTCAGTTCTTCCCAAGGTTACAACAGTAAATTACTAAGGGAATGATGGGTAATTTTTGTTAAATAAATACTAAATAAACATAAAAGGAGACCAAATGTGCAAGCATTATAAACATGAAACAAAACTTTTAAACAAAAAAGTATACTGTGATTCCCAGTGCATAATTTAGTCAAAGAATTACTGGTTCTTAAAACCTTTAATTTTTTTTTAATATTCAGTGGAATACTCTGCAGCACAGAGGAGCAATGATTTTGTAAATCACTACCTAACTTGGGAGGGACTGGAGAGCATTATGCTGAGTGAACAAACTCAGTTCCACAAGGACAAATACTGTATAAAACCATTATTGTAGAATGAGTATGAAGATCCAGGGCAAGGGTATGGGGGGGGGTGGAAATAGAAGGGTGTAGATGAGTGTGGGGTAGGCTGTTAATTATAGGGTTGCACAATTTCATGGGTGGGTGAGGTGAAGGAAATGGGAAGGATCTTTTGTGAAAAACAATGTATTCACACTTTGTAAATAGAATAAATTAAAAAAAAAAAGTCATTATCTTCAAGAAAATAATAATGTAAAAGTTTTATCAAAAAGATTTTCATCACAATATTAAGAACTCCAAATAGGAAATAAGTGCCAGCTGTAGAGTGTAATCAAAATTAGTATAAGATTTGATAAATCTTTTTGATCAAAACCACTATTGAAAATGAAGGTTATAAAACATTGATATGATAGGAGGACAGTAAAGGTAAAATAGAAAAGCCATATATACAAAATAAAAACATACCTGTAGAGGAGGAAGAAAGACCTGTCTGTAAATAAACAAAAATTTAGGTATTAAGGTTTTAAGGAGAGATGAGACAGTCTGCTCCTGTTAAGATTTACAGCCTCTGGAACCTGATGGTGGTTTGCTGCGAGGTCACATGAACTCCACAGCAGTGAGTTAGGGTTTTTTTCCTACTAATTAAATTGATATAATTTTTGGGTCTTTTTCACTAAAATCTTTCAGTGCACTACTTTTATAAGGAAATTAAAGTTAATACAGTATATTTCTTGATTTTTTTTTTCTCTTTACAAGTGAACTTGTTTGTGTGGTTGTAAGAGATTTCATATAAGGGAATTTTCATATATTCTTGTGTATTCTTTTTAAATTAATAAAATAATACTTAAAAATAACTTTTATCTCCCCCTACAGAACAGCGTTCACCTGTTCATTTTGTAAATTTCGGACATTTGAAGAAAAAGATATTGAACTTCATTTGGAAAGTTCTTCACATCAGGAAACATTAAATCATATTCAGAAACAAACCAAATTTGACAAAGTAGTTATGGAGTTTTTGCATGTAAGTATCTGGGAAGAAGTACTTAATCTGATATTTGAGTCCTTAATAATTTTTTTTTCTGTAATAGTTCCCCATCTTTCTCTCATTTTATGTTTCTGAAATTGTAACATAGGAGCTCTGGTGGAATAGTGGCAAGAAGCTGAGCTGCAATCCCAAAGACATTCAGTTCAAGGCCACCAAACTGCTCCACCCAGGAAAAAGATGGATAGTTTCCTCCCTTACAATTAACTGTCTCTGGAAAAAAAACAAAAC